TGTTTTGTCGGGTTGTAAAAAAGGAAGTTTTTTTTCAATTTTTGTGGCCATGGAGTCGGCAAGCCATGACATGACCATGTGATCTTCAATCTTCCATGTTCGATGTTTAGGATCAATATTTTCTAGTGCAAATACTTTTTTCAAGAGTTGTTCATTTTTTTCTTCAGCACATATGTACATGAACACAAATTGAGAACATTAGAGTAAATTGTCACCATGTAGTTTGTGATTGGTGATGCACGAATAAACTTCATATGCTGTAGAACCAAACATCTGGTTCATACGTAAATTTTGAAGATAAAGAAGCATCTTTCATACCGTATCATGTCATTCTCAGGATTTTCATTGGAGAGAGGCATTGTCCGTCGTCAATACAAGATTTCCACTAGAAAACGAAACTGTTTGTTGCCAACACATAATTTTACTAGAGAGAGAGACCATGTTGTCGACATAGAATTTTCACTTGAAACTGTCTGTCGTCAACTTAGGATTTTCGAGAGAAGTTTTGGTCCCTGTTAGATGTAAGAACAACTGTGGCAGGGAAGTTTACGACCGGGAAGCACATGGATGTATGCGGTTGGGAAGCGAAAGAAAGTCTACAGGCTACCTAGCGGTTGCAGGGAGAGATACGACAGTCAGAGAGAGCAGAAGCCGAAGCTGAAGCTGGGGAGGGCCTGCATGCTGGCTGGTGCCTGTTGACATGATTTAGGCGGCTGAAAAAGAGATCTAGGGTTTGTCTCCTATCTTAGATACCATGTGGAATTTAGGAGGAAATTTCGTAGAAAGAAAAACTCTCATTATTTATTTATTTAATACAAACAAATAACAGTATATATACAACTCAAGCTAACCCTAATATAATAGGAGGAAAATTCAAACCATCATGATAAGAAGAAAAGAAATAAAACACAATAATGGATAATCAAGGAAGAATAATTTCTCCCTCAGCCGTAGCGGCTGATTCTTGGGTGGGCCCATATGATCCACGGATGCAGACATATCAATAGTAAAGCATATCCATCAAATGCATCTTATCTAGAAGAAAAGAAATTGTGCTCTTTTTTCAAAATGAAATTACCCACATTACAGTAATTTGAATTCTAAGCTTAAGCCATGGCGTCACTCAAGACTTCCATTTTAATGGATCAATCCTCATGCATAAGTTCATCACCTCCTACATTAATTAAATCTATCATAAGTCACCTCCATCAAGAATAATTCCTACGACATAAGATTAAATCTTTCAACTCCTTTTATCTCTATATAAGGAAGTCCAATAACCTTATAAATTAGAATTTATTCTTATAAAGTGAACATTCCTTCTTATTACATTTTGGTTCATTTTACTTAAAATTTAACTTAAATTGATTTTTAAGGCATAAATCTCTTTCACACCATTGACAATCCACTAATATAAGCCATTATCTTGAAAATAGTTTATGTTTTAACTTCTGAGAGAAATATGCATGAGTAATTAATATTACGAGTCACTTATAACTACTTATTTAAAGGGCTAAGAAGTTCTTATAATGTTCTTTTTAAGTAAAGCTAAACCTAACTTTGCTAGTATGCATATCTCAAGCTAGTTTACAAAGGAGTTATACTTCACATGAATTCATGCATACTAAATTACAATTATCAAATAATTCCTATTCAAATCACAGTTTTCCATTTAAACATAAACCATTTTCTTAAACATATTAAGTACAACATACTCTATAGCTTGTTTTTTTATGAGGATATGCACTCCAAAACTTAAAATACTGCCTCTAGCTTTAATTTTTTCTTTTGTTTGTACAATTAAAAGAGGAGTGAGATGTGATCTTTAATTCCTTTGATTAATATGAATTTTTTTAATCATTTACTTAAAGCTCTATATTAATTGAGGAAGAAGCTGGAGTTTAGGGTTTACCTAAATCAATCCAAGGAAAATGATGATGATTGAGGGCTTGTAAATCTACTCAAATTAACATTTCCTACCAACTTCCTTCTTTCTGCTCCTTTGCTCAACTTTCTCTTGCCATCATTCTCACTCGTGGATAGTCCTAGAAGTCAACAACCCTTTCCTGCAACCTAAGATCAATTAATTGCTCAACTATGTCTGTTAAAGTGAAAGAAATTGAGGGTGAGAGGCGAGGGAAGAATAATTCCAATTTTTTTCATTATAACCTATTTTTCTCTAATTCCCTTCTTCAGCAGTATCCCAGATTGAATTGACAGAGTTGGGATTACAAGCAGGATGGTTGCCACCAATATCATTCCATTGATTTGGATCGTTTTGGCGAAAGTAAAGGTTAAGGGGGTTCCATGCTCTTGTCCTAAAAGAAGAGATGACTTGACGTTGTTAGAAAAGTGGAGATGGAGACTAATTATAATGGCAACATTCCATGGCTGAAAGTAATAAAGCAATTCTATGACCTCAAGAAGTGAAGGCTCATAAGGAGAGATGCTTCTCATTTCTGGAAGGGGGTACAAAAATGTTTGGCTGAAGTCATTTCAAGTTCCCATAACTCAAAACTTAGAAGGGAATCCCTCATTGATAAGGTTAGAATAGAGATATTTATTAGAAGAAATGCTTCTAGTTTCTGGTGTATGTAATGTTCCAAACACTAGAAGGGGCTCACTGTCTGTTAAGGAAAGTGAAGGAAATATTAGATTTTGGATAGGTTACTTGATAGGAGAGGTGCTTTTTGCAATAACTTCTCTGACTTGTTTAGGCTTGCTGAAGACTCTTCAGTGGGCATTGGAGAATTGAGTTTTTGAACTGTTGCATATACTCTTGTCTGCCTGACGAGTAAATGCTAAACTGAAGCTTCAGGTGCTATGATTGTGCTTTAGGTATGGAAATGTTGCCAAGATTTGGAAATAGTCTTTTTGAGGGAATTTTTTAGTGAATTCCTTCAATTAAGTTCCCGAACAATGGTGGGCTTGATTCACTAATTATAAGTTCCTGAAGAATTATTGCGTTCTGATTTCTAAATTTTTTAACATTCTGGTCTAGTATTCTGTTTGCAGGCTCATATTTTGACAGGGTTTTTATTGATTTTTAATTTTTAAATTTGGCATCTCTAGCATTTCGTCTGATTGGTACCCATCATCTATTTTAGATCCAGAACTGCGGCACAAGCATCATAGTTTCCATAATTCCATTCTATTGTTATTTCTGTAATCCATTAATTCACAGTGCGCTGAATTCTATTTTTAACATATCACTTTGGCAATGGAAAAGAATCCTCAATTTAATTTGAAGTCAGAAGGATACATTATGCACCAAGGTCATGCGTGGTCATTGCTTTCGTACAGTACTTCCCTGAACGGTCTGTATTACATAAATGTGTATTTTGATATAATATCTTAAAACCTCTAAATAAAACGGAGTCTTATACATGGTGTTTTTATGTTGTGAGCTTAAGTGATTTTGAATTTGAAGTACACAATAAAAAGTGAATCTTTTGTAGGGATTTTCGTTACTTGTCAATTCTAGATTGTTTAATATATGTTCATGAATGGCCAAATCTTTGTGAGAATAATGAAACTCCCATTTGTTAAGCTCTTTCATGTAGTTGATGAAAATGAACTGTGTGATTTTTCATTTGAAGGTTCTCGCCTTCTAACAAACTTATGATCGTTCACTGTCACTGTTACCACTTAGATGAAATTATAATCTCAAGTGATGATTTCTATGTAAATATTGCTAATCTTTTCTAGTTTTTATTTTCTAAATTTTATTCTAATTGTCATTCGAATTCTAACGAGTTAATTTTGGATTATGCAGTGTGATGGAGAGTATATTGGATGGTATCCTGAAGCCTTGTCCACTATCCCTTCCTGAAGTATGTTATTCTATAGACCAATTTGGACAAAACTTTCAGGGAAAGAAGGGTTCTGAAAGAGTATCGTCTGAGGTTGTTCTAGCAAAGCAGAAAAAAAAGCATAAAACAGATCCATCAGCCTCTGGAAATTTAGATCCTAACGGAATGCTGAGGCAGCCTACTATAATTGATGCCCTAAATAAAGCAGCGTTGGCAAGTCAAGAAGGTTTGGATGAGGGTTCTCCAAGGTATCTTTCTCATGAGAAAACACAGCGGTGTGCTAGTCATTGCCCTGGCAATGCTGATGAAGTTGAGGTTGTAGATTTATCTGCAGAATCTAAATTCTTAGATGCTCAAAGATCTAAATTCAGACCTCTAAATGCTGATTCCTTGTCTCTACTATCTTACTCCGAGGTAGGGGCTTCTATATATAAATTCTTGGTATTTAAAAAGATTATTGTTGTTCAAGAGGATTTTATTATTGTTGAGGGAACTTCTGATGAGAGGCTTTCACAAAATTTCTCCGTTTAGTGTCTTCCGTATTGAACTTGTGTTGCAAATTTGCAGAAAAATAGATGCTGCTATAACAACCCGCATGCATGGTTGTTTCTCAATGTATTTCATTTACGCTTTCTGAATTTGTAGACTTGCTTAAGCCTTAAAAAAACTAAGTGAACTTGGTAAACCTTGTTTTGTCTTTGATAATGGGAGTCTTCATGCGGGTGTCGGTCAACTTTTTGATAGATTTGAAAATATGGTATATAAAAATAATTTTTTTTTAAATTTAATTTAAATATAATAAATATATAGTTTGGGTTTTGAAAGTAGTATGTTTTAATTTTTGAAAAATGAGACCAATTGGATCTCATTCGTCCAATAGTTTGCACAATAGTTTGCATAATCGTTTGCATAATCGTGCCCGATACCGCAAATACTACACCCTCTCGAAAGATAAGTGTAGATTTGTGACATCCGTTCTTCTAACCTCCATAATAGACCAAATCCTGCAAATTAAGAGATTTGTGACATCCGTTTGATCTGCTAACCATTTATTAACCTTTTATGTATGACCGACAAGTTCACCTATCTAATATAAAGATTATGTAGGGTTTATTTTACCTGGGTTTCAAGTTTCCTATAGAGGCAAGCCCCTATACAAGCCCCTATAGTTAATATAGTTAATTACACCTCAAATAACTAAAGTCACCTGAGGAAACTCTCGATAATGATCAGAGGTACTAGTCTTAAAGATTTCAAAGTTTAGTTTTTCACGGTAGGACGTGGAAAAGGCAAGTGGGAGTGGGTCAAATTGGAACAATTATTTCATTATTTCAGGAGTCCAAACAAAAGAAAAGGTAGGGGATGTCATAGATCCTGAGGAGAACCCTCAATGACTTCTCAAACTATCCTACTGTGTGGCTGCATTTTTAGAGATTATGTTATTCAATTGTTCAATTTTGCCAATTTTATTATTTGGGACTTGTATTTGCATAATACCCGATTATGCAAATAGCCCGCAGAGATAAGAGGGTTTACGTCGTGTCACGCGATAACCTCGGAACCTAAGGCGGGTTAGGACTTACGCTGCACAATATAGATGTACAGGAGCCTAATAAAGGAATGTGAGGATTTACGCCGCGCAAGGCGAATAACCGATAACCTCGGAACCTAAGGCGGGTTAGGACTTACGCTGCACAATATAGATGTACAGGAGCCTAAAAAAGGAATGTGAGGATTTACGTCGCGCTAGGCGAATTACCTCGAAGTCCTATGGGTTGTTATTATACTAGGAAGAGATAATGCTGAAGAAGATCCTCTTGCTGCTCGGTCTGAATTCCTCGCCGTGCTGCCCACAAAGTTGGCTCCAAGCTTCTGTCGTCGCGACAGCTCGAGGGTTTAAGTGTTTGAGATTGGTAGTTTATGTTTCACAGTTTTGGTGTCAATGTTTGGTTTTGTTTTGCATGCAGAATAAGCAAATTGCAAGTAAATAAAATGTACTTGAAATGTAAAATGCAGTAAAGTAAAATGCTGTAGATAAACTGTAAAAGCGTACCTGGGCATCTGCTATTGTTGCGTTATTAATATTGCGAGCATAGTATGATTTGCAGCAGATTTAAATAAACTTGCAAGAAAATTAAACAAGACGAGAAAACCCAACGCGAAAGTTAGAAAAATGAGTTATAAAAATCACAAGTAAAAGAAACCCTTAGCCACATGAAAGATCAAGACTGAGTATAAGACATTGGTAAAAGTGGGGGGCTCAGAGCTGGGCTGTGTACTTCCCGATCTCGAACAAGAGTTACCAGGCCTACAATCTACAGAAGACAGTCCTTAAACTCAATCTAAGTGACTAACCGTTGACCTTTATAAATTTTCATAAAAAATTTCTTTGATTTTTCATGCAAAAGTTGTTGTTTAAGTCTTTTTTATGCAGAGTTCTTTTTAACATACGAAAGAAATTTTTATTTTTATTTTTTTGTAAATATTTTGTAAAGTCGTATACTCCACAGGCTAGTCACTCTAATCGTGCTAGAACTACTGACAACCTAAGAGTGTCGGGGGCAACGATCCCACCAAGAGTCGGCGAATAGTATCTTGGATTCTTTTCTCTCTCTTATTGAAGATCCTTGAGGTAGGAGATACTATTCTAATAATCTAACCTCGTATCTCTCGTTTAAGCGCACATAAGCAATGTCGTCATCGCCCTCGCCACTTAGACCCTGGACTTATCCTAATCTGATGATCCATATATGGCGTTAAGAAATTACCCCAATTGCTTGGAGGATTTGAGTGTAATATTTAAGCTCAAATCCCAATGCACTGGGTTTCATTGTAGGTTAAGTCATTGAGGGAATTTCACTGTTGATTTAATTAAGGAAGCATGAACTACGTCTCGGTGCATCCTGATGTCTAGTGTCTTGATCAATTTGTGAATCAGGGTCAAGTGCAAAGTTTAGTTATTTATTCGAAAATTAAGTGGATGAATGCTCACCTAGGGTGTGTTCCTAAAGTCTTGGGAGGTTACACTACAGAGATTAAGTGGATGGGCTCTCACTTAGGATATGCTCTTAAAGTCTAGGAAACCTACACTGAGGATTAGGTCGATGGGCTCTCACCTAGGGTATGCTCCTAAAATCTAGGAAGATTATACTGAGGATTAGGTGAATGTACTCTCACCTAGGGTGTGCTCCTAAAATCTAGGAAGCCTACACTGAGGGTTAGGTGGATGAACTATCACCTAGGGTGTGTGCTTAAGCTCTAGGAAGCCTACACTAAGGACTAGGTAAATGGGCTCTCACCTAGGGTGTGCTCCTAAAACTCTAGGAAACCTACTCTTTAACTTATGTTTAAGGTGATTTAAGGTTTCTATATCTTCCAATTAATTAAATCATCAATCCCCATCTTTATGACTTAACCATTATTCAGAAATAAAATAATATAGACCCGTAAAGAAGCATTCAAGCCCTGGAATAACGGTCATCTCGAGCCTCGTAGTATTTCCTTTCGAGTGCTCGAAACATGAAATTAACAAATGAGTATTTAAGATCAATAAGTAAATGGTCGTTGAGACTTCACAATATTGCATTTAAGTACTTGAAACATAAACCAACTACAAAGCATTTAAAACCAACAAGTAAATGATCATTGAAACCTTACAATATTTGCATTTAGGTACTTGAAACATAAAACCAGAACTAAACACTTAAAATTAGCAATAACATATAATTGAAATATTGTTTATATTTCTCCAAAATCTGTAAGAATGTATTCATGTGGAGAGGATTTCATTTCAAATTTATGTAAACAATTTGATAGCTATGATAGCTGGAAGAATATACCTGTCCTTACTTTACTGCGACACAGCAGGGACACAACAAGGAATGAAAAGGAATGGGAAAGAGAGGTAGCTGGTCGCTGGCGAGGAGGCCAACAGCTTCAGTCGAGTGAGGAAGATCATCGGGCGCTTCTCCTGCGTGCGTGAGGAAGAGAGAGGTCGAATCGAGTTAGGTGCCGCGTGAGAGGTGGACGATGGCCTCAATGGGAGCTTCCGAACAGAGAGTTCGCAGGCTTCGGTTCGTGAATGAGTGGAGGCCGAAACTGTCAGACGAGGAAGGAGGTGACAGAGGGCTTCTGGTCACACGGACGAAAGGACTGGGGAACTTCTGTCCCGCGAGAGAGGGTAGGAGGCGAGAGGGATTTTCAGACAAGTGGTAGAGGCGCAGCAGATGCTTCGATCGGGGGCTGTGATCGAGTCGCAGAGAGGAGCGGGTGAGGCGAGTGAGGGTCTTCGACACGAGAAGGAGTAGATCGCGCGAGGGGAAGGCGAGGCAGTTGAAGGTCTTGGTGCAGAGGCAAGCAGTGAAGATGAACCGAGAGGGGAGGAAGAAGGCGGGCTCTAGAGAAAGGCGAGAGTTTCGAGCGGGAGGGACGAAGCGAGCGAATCCGATGCTTCTCCGTGAAGACGGATCGGGAGAGAAGGAGAGCCATGGGCTTCGGTGACAGAGGGGAGATTCGGCTAGGGATTCGTCGTTGGGAGGAGAAGAATCGCGAGCAGCCGGAAGGAGCTAGATCGAGCGTGAGAGTGATGAGTTGAATCTAGAGCCCCGAGCCTCGTCATGGGGAAGAGTATATCAAAATTTCAGAGAGACGTTATGCGAGACTTTTGGCTGGGGATTGAATGAATTTCCAACAGGGGAGGAGTTTTATTTGACATATAATAATTCCTAATTAAATTTCATTAAGGCTGATTAAATGATTCATTTGAAACTTGGCCTGTGTTAAGCCTGAGTCTGGCCCGAATCAAACCCGAGTTGAACCTGCGTTGAGTCCGGGCCCGCGTGTGTAACCTTAGCAATATGGGTGTTTTTCCTAGCTAAAGATGACGTTCTGGATGCGTCGACGCGGTCTGTTTCGTCATCCGGGGTCGTCCGGACGAGTTCACCGAAGGGCGAGTCGATTCAAGTCAAAGTCGTGTGTGGTGCAGTGAGTGCGTGAATTGCGGCGTTCACGAGTAATCGAGTCACAAAGGGTTCACCTAAGACTGTTTGATCCTATAGGAACTCATTTTTGACCCCTCTACATGTTGGTCCTTAGCCCTTGCAACTAGAAGTTGAGTGCTTGGAACCACTCATGCGAGTTCTTCACAAAAATGAGTCAAGAAGTGGTTTGAAGTTCTACGGGAGGTGAACTCCATTACTAGTCTGCTAAGATGGTCAACAAGAACTCCTAAGGCTAGATTTTGGGTCATGGGAGTAAGAAACTAAGACCTCACTAAAAATGAGGTCAACAACGGATTCCTTATCCATTGAGTGATTACTTTTCCTTTTGTATTAATATAAAAGATTTATTTTTGATTTCACTCAAATAAAATTCTAAACCTGAATTACCCTTGATTCATTTCAATATATTAATATTAAAAATTCATTTTTGATTGCATTCAAACAAAATTATAATTTTAAATTACCCTTGATTAGGACCATTAATGCGCCGAGCCTGAGCGAGCTTAGCGCTTAATTGTGTTTTGTTCGTTCTAATTTTTTCTGTTTTTGAAATAGTTTTGTGTTCTAAATGATTAGTGAATAACATGTTAGGTTCGAATTTGTATGTTCCAATTCATGTTAGGCTCGAATTTAACTTAAATGATTTCAAAGCTGATAAAATTCAACTTTATTAATACAACATAAAACATCATTTTAAAAATGTTATAATAAATCTTTTTTATTTCATTATTTAATTAATTCGAGCAAAATGGTGAACTCAATCAAACTAAGATTTATTCGTGTTTGGTTTCCTTTTTTAAATTGAGCTAAAAAAATTATTTATGTTCATCTTGCTTGTATGACTAATGAATCAAATATGTGTTATTTAGCAAACCGAACATAAGTTGTTCGAGAATGATGAGCTTTTGGGATAGCCCTACCTATGGTTTATTTCAACTCTCGATCACTGCGAACATTTTTGATGTCACGAAAACCATGGAAATTGTCAGTGTTGGAGAATTTTAAGTCTTTGTTTCGAACAATGTTGATTTTGGGATAATTTTTGTGTTGGAGAACTGGAAACAAGGATAATAACACATATGGGAGAAGCAAAACGCCTTGATATCATTGTTAGCGATAGTCGCGGAATGTTATGGGTGCGGGTGAAGTGGTAATGGAGTTGTAAAATTATCTTGGATATGAAAGAGTTAAAGCCTTTGATTGTTATCAATGTTTGCTACGAGAGAGTTGTGTGTGTGAGAGAAATAAAAGTGTAGCTGCGGCCTGCAGGAATTTTTTTAGTGCAGAAGTTCAAACCCTGTTTCTGATGGATATAGCTTCTAGAAGAATCACATGCAGAGGTAGCAATCGTGGTTTTGGTAGGTGACTTTTGGTTTAAGACATGCTAAAGCCCTTCTTTGTCATCGACTTTATTTGCATGAGAATACGAGCATGGGAGAAGTTGAAGAGAAAAAAAATTAATTAATTGTTTTGACGTTGCCAAGCTCCCACTTTACTGGTTTTGATGTGTAAACTGTAAGAGTAGTTATTAGAAGCCATAGAATCATAGCATATTATCACATTTCGGATTTACATCCTTGTGCTGAATGGTCCATTTTTGTTATAGTAACTCGCTATAGTGTATGAACAAATTGCTGTATGATAACAAATTGAATTTTTTTGGAGGCGTTCTGCTCATTAAATTCTTGAAAGAATTATTTTATTTCATTTGATTTAGTTGAATTTTTCCTTGTTGAATGGTTGTTGTGCATTTAGGTTGCTTTGCTTTTACTGATTTTGGTTTTCTATCATCTTATGCACAATTGAGGCCCGGTTTTGCTCTTTTTTTCACCTAATAAGTCTCATTTCCATTGCTGCAGTGTAAACATGATTGTTGTGCTGATCCTGCAGCTGAGGTAATTCTTTCCTCTTTCTATATTTGTAGATATACTCGTTTTACCCATGCAATACAAAATGAAAATTCACTTGACTGATTAATTCCCGTCTTATTTCTTAAAATTTCTTTATAGCTCCCTCTTCATTTGTACCTACTGCGAGAACTTCGCCGCAAACTGAATGACTTTAGTTCTCCGATCAAGCAATGCTTTACTGCATGTCCAGATAAGGCATCACCTGGCATGAGCAGGATGGCAAGTATTGATTTTCTTATCAAGATAAAGTCAGCCATTGGCAGTCTAAGAAAACATCTGGATAATGCAATTTCTATTCTTAGAGATGGTAAATCTGCCATTCAAAATCATTTTTTTTTATTTATAACATTCATAATTTTGTGACTAATTTTATTTAGTAGGTCCTGAAAATTGCCAGAATCATTGGAAATCTCAATCTTGTTCTGCTGGAATCCCAGAGTTGTCTAATCTGATGATGTCAGAATCTTCTGTTGCCAGTTCTGTATTTAGAGAAGTACTTCGCTGTTACAGCTTGGTATTTGTTTGACGGACCATTCATTAACCTATTTTTTTATGTGTAGTAAAAATAGATCACTCCCCAAATTAACATTAAATTAAGAGCACTTCACCATGAAAATTATTGATGACATCTTATGTTTTGATAGTGATTATTAGATTCTTATCTTTGAAGATATTATTTCTAATACATAGGTATTTTATTAGTCGATAATTTAGTTTCATGAAGTATTGAGCTGATTAATTTGAAATAAGTTTATTATTCATTATTTAAAATTGATGTGCTGAGGTCACGGTTCAAATCACGTATTCAACTGTAAAGTTACGGTTAAAGTTGTGGGTCTCTTTGAAGTTCCTGCGTTGGTGGGAGATTGGTGAACTGGCACAACTTTTGTGTATTGACTTTTTTATTAACTAAAGGAACTTATATTTCTTGAAATACATAGATAATCACACAAAAGAAATACTCCACTTTGCTTTTCATTGCGACACTCATGTAGAAGCAATTTTAGTTTATGTTTATTTGGGAGTTTATTAATCCATGAATAATTAAAGTTTTTTCAACTCCAATGCGATCCGTGCATTCATCTTATTCCCATCTTTTTTGTGACAGCAGATTTTATCCATTGGCGAACTATACCATGGGGAAAATTTGCGAATTCTCAAGGACTTGCTTGAAGTTTTCCAGCCAACTGAAGCACTGCAAGATTTCTTTTCAGGGCTTCAACAACATCCAGCGCCTGGAAGCATAGATTACATGTATTGTGGCGTGTACTCATTTCTTGAGGGCATCCTTGAAAAATGTAACATTATTGCGACTTGCATCTATTTTTTTGGTTCCTTTCTTTTATATGTTTTAGAAGAGTTTAAAAGGTGTAATTTTCTACAGCATTCTTCTTGTCATTTTTGCTGGCATCAGAAGTGGTTGCTGCTCTTCAATCACTAGTTAATTCAATGGCGGTTTTGATAAAGTCTCAGGAGACAAAGGGGAAGAACATCAATATGGGATGCTCCCAGAATATACTTGACTTTCTAAGAAAAAGGCTTTCCATTTCTGCCCACAAGCTATTAGCATATGATTGGAGTAGTAAGGATAGTGAGACTGAATGGAAGGGCAATGTAAGAGTGATTAAATTTCCTAGCCATCATAGGCATGGTAATATACATACTTTTTTAATCAATTTTTTTGGGTAATGTCAGGGGGATTTTTTGCAAAAGATATTGAAGATATATCTGACAAATTCAGAGTCTACCTCCGAATTGCTAGATGAGCTGGCATGCTCAATTTTGCCACAGGTATATGCATAATAATCTCATCATGCAAGCCAATGACTTGGTCTAGCTTCCTTCAATTATTTTGTTCTTTGCATTTTGAGTTAAATTCTAGATATTGTGAAAAAAAAATAGCTCAATAGGCCATGTCAGCATTTCCTTCTTTTTTGTCCAATGAAATCTTTCCATGTGGATTCTGTAAAAAAAAAGAAAAAAACAGAAAAATGGCAAGATTTGTTGCCACATTTATTACTTACTTTTGAATTAAGATACTAATATACGTCCTTTCAGCAGTTGTCTCTTTTTTGAAGTTTTGAATGATTTTAGTAAGCTGATGTAGACATTGTCAGTTTACATCACATTATGTAGAAAACCTGGTTCAAGTTGTGATTGTCCTGTTCAAGGATCAAGATGAATTCTCCAGATCCAAGATAAACTTGCTAGGCTTAAGATGAATTCGCCAAGTCTATGTTGAACTCACTTATCGTCAAAATTTGTTTAGCACGTAGGCAACCTTTTTTAGCCATGTTAGTGACTTTCCTCAACTATGTCATCAACTTTAGTAAATAAGCCGATTGTCTTGGTCTCTCAAGGCTATGGTCTAAGATTTTTAATAACTAATATTAATTAGGCTATGTGCCTCATGCATTTTATGACAAGCAACTATTGGGATTTGCTATGTTTTTTTTCATTTAATTATTGTTGCTCTATATATAGCCTTTCTTGTGCCACCAAATCCCAACCTAAGCCGAGGTTATAGTAGAGTTCAAAAGGAGGCACTTTCAATACCAATACTCATTTCAGTGAAATCTAGAAAATTAAAATTTTTTTTATCTCTATTTTCATGTTCTTTTTTTTAGGTTTATTAGCAAGGTTTTAATAATATCTACGAACAGATTTAGATTTAACATTCTCAAATGTCTGATGAAAATGAATTTATGCTAAAAACATGAAGGAAAGTACTTCGAGAAGAAAAAAACATGCCAGAGAAACTTCAGTCAATATGGAGTTTAGATTTCGCCATCAACCTAAAACTATCATAAATGGAGGAAATCATCTATGGAATGAATCAAGGAATTTTGGAGCAGATTCCTTACGCTACTCCTACATTTGAAATGCCTGAACAATCTTCTAATTCTGCGATCCATAAGTGACACTTCAGTGTGTGAGCATTACTCTCCAACCCTAAAAATGATAAGAATAGCTATCCCAATAATGATGAAGATTGAATTTTCTAATCTCGTAGAGTAGAGATGATTTGAGAAGAGGAAGTTGCAACTGACCAATGTGCTCTCAAAGGAGATTGCAAATGCGAAGCCTCCTATAAAATTTAAATCCATTATTTTTGCTTACGGGGGAAAGACAGACCTTGCTGATCATATCATCTTTGTCGCATCTCGACTATTTTTCTTTGCTTGATATTGATCAGGCTTTGAAATGCAGATTGTTTTTTATTATTTTCAGGGAGTTGTCTCTCTAATAGTTCTCTTCCTGACTGTTGGGATTGATTATTTTGTTCGCCGAATTTTGATTGTGTTTATCATCATTTTCTATATCATTCTCCATAAGAAAAATGTGAATTTTATAATCTAAAATTAAATTGTTGGTACTGTATGCTAATCAATTATCACTTACTAGAAGTCTTAGTAAAAATATCCTTACTCGTAACTGAGTGTAGTTAATTATAGGGGCTTGCACCCATAAAAAATTATATTGATTCATAAATTTTTTTTTGCAGAATAAAAGTGAAACCAATGGGTAATGTCCAATTTGGTAATTCGGTCCTTTTATTTTGAAAAGTTTGACTCTGAAGAAGCATGAAAAGTCCTTCGAAAGAGTTGGGATTTTTTTTTAATTTATAGATTTTTGTTATCTTTGTTGGGGAAGATTTTTCTTTTTATCTTTTGCTTGTCTTATATGCTATGATAGCATAATTTCCTTCTTTTATCATACATTTGGAAATTTGAGGAAATCTACAAGGTGGTCATCAACATGTCACAAACCTAACCATCTGTTGTCATGACCCGACCTGAGGCTTGGAGTTAACCAAGATGAGAGCGGACGGTCGGACGGTGGAAATCAATTATCTGTTATTCTAATTTTATTACTAATAATTTAGTATTTAAATAATACATGAAAGAGCCACTAAAGGAAGCAATTAAAATTAACAAGTAAAAATTATACATTTTTTGTTGTTCTCGTCTTCTGTATACATCTATTTCTCTTTTATACATCTTTTTTAAATATTTAAAATCTAGAAATAATATGTAAACAACATATTGAGTTATCCAAAAAATAATCCAGGAGTAATCACACTACTAAACTATAGTAATCCAAAGAAAAGAGTACTATGCATCATTGACATTTTCTAATGGACAAACACTAATACTCTGTATTTATTTTAACTTTACTTTTACTTTATACTTACACACACATTTGTCTCTTTGAGGATCACCGTCAACAAACCTAATGCACTCTTGACCAATATTATCTCGTCGGCTCCCCTTGGCGCATCAGTTAGTGATCTACACATCTTAATTGTCCAGGGTGGAAAGACCCTTACCTGCCCATGATCGATATTATCCCGTCGAGACAACGGTTAGTAACGTATACATTGCAATTATCTGGGGAGGTAAGTTTCAGTCTACTCGCCTCTGACCAATATTATCTCGTCGACACATCAGTTAGTGATCTAACAATCACAATTATCCGGGGCGATAGAAAAACTCTACGCACGCAGGTACACAAACATCTCCTGCCTATACCATTACGGGATGAAATTCTCTTTTGAACATGCACATGCAAACATTCACATATAAGCGATTTCATTCTTTATACATACATTATTCTGAGACATATTTATGCATCTACTAACATGCATATTAATTATGCTATAAAGCTATTCATCAGACAGATCTTTCATATCATTCATATATCAATCTCATGCATATCTCTTATTTAAATCTATCTTCAAATATTTTTTACTTATATCATGTATATCTTTCCTATAGGTCTATTATACATGTCTATCTAAATATCATTCATCTCATGCATATCTTCAATGCATGCACATTTTTTCAATTACGCTTAACTTGCATATCTGTCCTATCAATATGAATGATTCGATTAAACTAGGGCATACATGAAGTCAAATAGACAATCTGAAATTAAAAAAAAATACTGAAATTTAGAAATGTAATTACTCACCTCAGTTTTAATGCTAAACTTTTAATCTTTGATATCTAGGTGGAGGTCGCAGTGACTTTTATGTTGAGCTTAATAAACTATAAAACATAATATTTAAATTTTTAAGAATTAAATAATTTTTATTAATCAAATTAATCTTATTAGCATATGATTAATTTATTTGAAATTTACAAGGTCGCTTTACAGTGAAAGTCCATACTCTCCCTCTGAGTCTGCTGCCTCGAATAAATAACCTGGAGTCCGCAATTAACTTAAGATTTAAAGATATTTTGGTTAATAAAATAATTTAACCAAAAATATAAATGATTTTCTAAAACATACTTTAAACGGCTTTCTCGGCGATCAATCATTCTCCAAAGATGCCAAATTTACCTCTATCACCTCTGACCACACTTCCCCTACGTTGATACCGTGCTATAGCCCTTATCATAAGGCTCGCAAAATATTTTTGATGCTTCAAACACACAATTAGCGCTTCCGAAGGCTACCGAAAAGGAAAAAAAGGCACGGAAAGTGAGACAAAACTCAAATTGAAAGTGGGAAGAAGAAAATGATTGTCTCAAATATCATGAAAAAGAGATTCACACTTACAAAAATTACCTCAGAGCCCTAAACCGCATCTTGCGGCTTCTTTCTCGACCCGTCCGCTACCTGCGCCCTTGCACTATAGCGAGGTCGTAACTCCCTCTCTGCTTCTGCCATGCAAGAAAGGAGAAGGGAGGGGTATCAACAAGGGGGAAGGGAAATCGAAAACAAGGAGTGGATCGTTGCTTATCAGGTGGCCTCTCTTCTCTTCTTGATCGAGCCTCCGGGATGAGCTGCGATTGAAATCTCTCACAGGAGCTTCTGCCGAGCTCAATGGAACAGGGAGGGAGGGTGTGTGAGTGAAACTGAGAGGGGAAAAGGGGTATCAGGAGGGGAGGAAATTTCAAGACCTTCGAACTCATTCGATCACACTAAAGGAATAAAGGAGGCGTAAGACGGTGTGCTGGAGCTAAGGAATTAAGGTTAATTAAATTAATTAAACTTATAACTTCATTTTATTTCTCCCAAATCATTCATAATTTACATACAATACTTTATATAGAATTAATCGATTTTTCGTGTAGAATTTTTTAAAATTGTTTTGATTGAAATCTGATGGGTGTGAAAATTGAGGTACATTTGTTGAATCAAAATTTTTTTGGATTCTCAAAAATTGGTTATTAAATCTGTTGCCGAAATGTTTCAGTAGAAGGGCAAGCAGGCTAGTAGTCCATGGCGCCATGAAAGAAATTATCTTGAAAAGTTAAAAAGGTGTGGTATTTGATGTTTACTTCTAAAAAATTGACCTTTGTTAAAAATTTGTCAAGAATGGACTAGAAAAACATTTCTACCTGTAATTTCCATAATAGTGTATGCGTAGAGAGTTCTCTTATGAATAGACAAATGTGGTCTCCTCTATGAAATTTCATTATGTAAGGGCCACTATCCAATTCAATGGTGTAGACATCCGCGTTGTTGATGTTAGGGCCACAACTGTGCTTTGCAGTCATGTTATGAGATCTTAGTCTGTGTTTGCATTTCGTACACATCTACTCACACATCAAAGAAGATCAATAAAGCTATTTTTGTTGAAATTACACAAGAATTTATGATTGGTACTCTCAACAATATGCCTAATTCTCCTCCTCTGAATTAGTCTTGGTTCTAAGAAGATCAACCATTCTCCATTGATAAATTGGTGGTAATTTTGGTTCTAACTGAAAATACCCTTTTATCATTGACAAGACATGTTAAATAAGAGCAAAGCCTTTAAGGAATTCTCTAAGGTCCCG